CAATCCTTGCAGAAGTGAGAGCCATGCTGGTTTGGCAAGGGGAGATTAAAGAAGGGACTGGAGACGTAATGGTTGATGGACATCACACATGTGGGAATCACAGGTGAAGGAGGAAACATGCTATGAAGGTGTGTCTTACACGAAGTGGATCTAGAAGTGGTTGGATGGTTGAACAGCTCAATGACTCCTATCACCATTACGTTAGCGATGACACAAAGGAACTTCTAGAGAGTTTTAAATGCTCTGCAGAACCTTGACATCTTTTTCCAGATATTTTCCACCAGAAATCTTTCTGCTCAATGTCAGTGCTGTCTGTAGCTGCTCCCCAGCATGGGAAGCCCAGGGCATTTTGTTCTCTGCCATTGTAGAACATTGACTTTGTCAACATGCTGCCTTCTTCCTAGCCAACTAGGGAAACAAGATCATCATTGGGAGGAAAACTATAGTGCATTCAACAGGGAGAGCACATGGCCCCTTGTCTGTGCTTGGATGGCATTCCTGTTGCAGACTATGGGGCCAGGGTAGGTTATGACTACCATGAATGAGTAATAGTTACCAAAGGATTACTATGGGAATATTTGGATTACACCAAGCAGCACCTTCCTCTATAGCTGGGGGAGAAGAGGAGCCCCAAACTTTTGGAGTGTTCTGAGGAAGGAGGAAAGGGGCTGATGCTGGGAAGGAAGCCAACAGAGGCCACTGTGCATAAACTTCAGCTAGCATTCACTCCCGCACCAGCATGATCTCCACTAATGGGTTCAATTGGGAATGCACCAGCAACCAAAGGTAACAGTAATGGCTGATGAGAATCACATTAGTAACCAGCTTTCCAACAAAGATTAATACCTTTGTTTGAATCCATCCCAAACTGCTACATCGTGATAGGTAGTGGGAAATAATGGACCTAGTATTACTGAGTAAAGAAAAGGTGCCAGGAGGAAGGAGCACTGAAAGAAGGATGAGATAGGACAGGAGAGCGCACAGACACAAGTAAGGATAGAAGAAAGATGGGAGTGAAGAGATGAGAAAATAGAGGATGGAATTATGAGATGATGGATGCTTCTTGGAGGGGAAGGGAAGGCAAGGGAAAGATGAAAAAATGGAGAGGATGAAGGAAAAAAGGAAGACAGAGGAAAGGATGAATGAAAGGAAGATGGACATGAAATGAGGAAGAATATGAAGGATGAAAAGATGGAGAAAAGATGGATGGAAAGATGGACAGAGTGGAGAAGACAGAGAAAGGAGAAGGAAGAAGAGGGGAAGATGGATGAATATAGGGATGCTAGAAGAGTGATGGGGACAAGATGAATGTGGACTAACAAGGAGAGTAGGATAGACAGATAGAAGACTCCAGACAGAAGGTTGTGAGGAAGTCCATGCAGATGAATAGTAAAAGTGGGAATGAGGGAGATGAGAAAATAGGGAAATAAAAGTATAGTGGGAGTAAGAGAGATGTGGTTGGGGAGCAGGTAAGGAGCAGCAAGGAGAAAGAGAGTAAGGAGTGATGGATGAGAGAGTGGATTGGGGATTAATGGATGGATGAATGATGGGTAAAAGGATTGGTAGATGGATGGGTGTGTGTTTGTTTGTGGATGGATGATGGAGTCATGGATAGGTGTATGGGTAGATGTGTAGCTGAATGGGTAGGTGGACTGATGATTAGAAAGATAGGTGAATGATGAATGGGTGAATATGTGAGCTGATGGATGGGTGGATGAATGGTTGGGTGATGTGTGGATTAATGACAGGTGGATGAGTGGGTGGATGGATGGATGATGGGTGGATGGATGGATGGATGGATGGTGAGTAGATAAATGATGGGTAGTGGGCAAGTGGATGGATGATGGATGGATGAATGGATGGATGGAAGAGTGGGTGGGTGGATGGAAGGATGTATTGATGGATGGATGTGTGGATGGGTAGATGGGTGGGTGTATAGGTGACTGGATGGTGGGTGGACTGACAGAAGGGTAGGAGAGAGGCAAGTGGTTGGAGTGTGAATCTAAGAATGAGGGTGAGATGGCCGGAAGCATTGATAGAGTGATTGAAAACATAAGTGTGTCTGTATTCCCTAGAATACAAACCATTCTCTCCCGAAGACAAAATGAACACTCAGTACCAGTTTTTGCCATAACAACTATTTACCAAAGTATGGAATTTGAGCATAGATATGATTTTCATGTATGTGTCAATTTAGTTGACTAGAAACCTAACCATGGTTTTGATGATAAAACTAGTGAAGTGCTACTTCTAATGTCTATGCATGAGAACCTCAATCATAGCTGATGATTGAGCTTCTAAGTAAGCTGCATCACTGAGTTAACTGGGTTACTAATTATAGACCTCCTAGGGGTGGAATGGGAGTTTGGTACTTCAAAGCCTTCGCTCCTGCCTACAGCAGGTCAACCAATTCTTTAAAATTTTTTTTGTTATTATATTATTGTTGTGCTGGGGGTACATTGTGACATTTATAAAAGCTCATACAATCTGTTGTAGTTGAATTCACTCCCTCCATCACTCTCCTTTGTTCCGTCCTCTCCCCATTCCTGGAATATTTTCAACATGTCTCATTTTTCCATTTTCATACATGAGTACATAGTATTTCCACTACATCCACCTTCCTACACACTTTTCTTATATCCTCCCCACCTCCCACTGGTACCAACCCCATACAGGACCTGTTTTACCTTTCTGTTCTCCATTTTTGAAAAAAGACATTTTTTGTTTGTTTAAGATAGCTATACAGGGAGTTTCACTGTGACATTTCCATGTCCTATAATATATACAATATACATATTATAACCAGAATTGGTTCATCTTCTCTATAGTTCTCCTTTCTATTTTAGTCCCCTTCTTATGGTGATTTCAGCAGGTTTAAAAATTTTATATTCATTCTTGTATAGAAAATATATCAACCACATTCACCTTCTTAATTTCTTTCTTTTACTTTTCTGGAAGGATTTTGTCTACACATTGAGTGTCCCAGATCTTACAGCTCTCACTCAAGGACTGAAGGAACTAGTGGATACAAATGTCCTTAAATCATAGTAAATAGGTGGTTTTAAATAAATACACAATCACATTCAGGTGTTACCCTGATCCTTGAGATCAGTGCAGAAAGGAGCTAAAACATAGACCTCCTGGTCACTCCTTGAAAGGGGTGTGTTTGCGTGGTTGTCCTGATGTTTTGTGATCTTCAGGCTCCTAAATGGCCTGAATATGGGAGCCAAAATGTCAGATAAACAGTATACTTCAAGGGATATAAGACTGATGGGTGTTCAAGTACTTCCCAAGCATTTCTTCCTGCTCCTGCTCCTTTACCAGTAAAGCCAGGTGTGTGAGTTCCCCCTGGAAAGAAGGTAATTGGAATCACTTGTTGCCTCCTCTGGCTTGTGGTGTTGCTGTCAATCCTGAGATCCTTGGCCTGAAGACACCTCACTCCAGTCTCTACATTTGACCCCACATGGAATTCTTCCTGTGTATCTGTGGGTCAGTGTCATAGTGGACAAGGACCCACCCTAATGATTCCATCTTCACTAGCTACATCTGCAAGGAGCCTCTTCCAGAAAGGAAATCACATTCACAACCAGACACTAGGCCTTCAACACATCTTTGGGGAACAAAATTAATCTCATGGTAAGAGTTAAAGAGCATTTTAAATGGATCATGCAGAAACAAGCACAGCTGAAGTAAAGAGTTTGTGTTGGAACTCATGGAGGCAATTTAAAGTGGGATTTGGGCCATTCTGTGCGGAGCCCAGAGGACAAGCTCAGAATTTGAATGAGGAAGGGCCCTTGGACGTGTTCACAGAGGAGATAGTGGGTATAAAGCCATTTTGGGGGAGGGGGTTCCTGATGGATTGGGTCAGGTAAATCCTATAGGAAGTGACACTGATGTAGGACAAAATGAGGTACTGGGACATGGGGTGACATGCTGATGGTGAGAAATGATTGTGAGTCTCCCTGATGTATAGGAAGTAGGTGCAGGGAACTGACAAATGGGAGCAGTAGTCAGGTTCAAAAGCACAGTTCAGCCTTGTGATCACAACTGGTCCTAAAATGGTGTCAACCATGGTCCTGCCCAGACACTTAGAAAGCCGAGACCCAGGTTAGCACCACTAACACACCAACTCCAGTGGATGCAGCCCATTAAGGTGTGGGGAGTCACTGACTGGTGGGATATTCATGTAAGACAGTGGTGATGGCACCTGCGTTATCCCCAATGTATTCATGTGGTAGCTCCTCCATAGACAAGGGGTAGAAACGGACAAATTATTCACTAGACAGACACCGACATGGGGCAGGGACAGCATTAAGGGAATTCAAACGTGGTCAAAGAGATGAACCACTATGTGGATTTTCAGATGAACTTAGAACTAGATAGACAGTGGGAGATACAGCTACAACAGGGTCATCAAGTCCAGGTAGAATGAGAAGTGTTTGTGAGGTCCAGGTAGCCAGAGTCTCAGGAGGAAAGTGATGGATCATTTTGCCTATGAGATAAAGGAAGGCTCTGAGGGGCTGGCAGAGGAAAGGATCTGAAGACTTGAACATGTACCGAGGGGAGGCAAGACTCTGGGTACACACCATTCATTACCTGACAATGTGTAGGTGTAGGGCAACAAGGCAAGACACAGTCAGTGACCCTTTTCCCTGGAGTTTGGGTTGATTGAAGGAGGTAGCGGTAACTGAGCAAGAGCTTTCCTGAGAAAAACCAATTTATTGGAGGCATCCAGCAATGGCAGACTGTTTCCCCAAATAAAAGAAGTGCACTGTCAGGACTTGGTATTGTGGTTCTGTGATCAGACATTTATTGAGTGCACAAAAACAACATGGTCCAAATGAAACAACCAACACAGGAAAGTCAGAACAATCTGTCAGAACCCCAAGTCCGAGGGTAATTCTTCTAAAGTGGTTTTATCTAGGTCTCAGTTCTTTAATCTTGCTCTCAGGATGTAGAGCATGGAATACCTGGGAAACTGGAAGAACAACCTACACTTCTCACATAATTTGGAGAGAGGGTAAGAGTCTCCCCAGGGCGTGCTTGACTTCCTTGTTCCTCAGGGTGCAGATGAGGGGATTCAGTGTGGGGCTGAGGGCCGAGTACAGCACACCCGCCACTTTGCTTCTGTCTGGGCTATAGCTGGAGGCAGGGCTGATGTAGGCACAGAACACGGAGGAGTAGTGCACAGAGACCACGATGAGGTGTGGGAGGAGCAGGTGGAGAAGGCCTTCCGCTTCCCTTCTGCGGAACGCATGCGCAGGATGCTGGCGAGGATGCAGCCATAGGACAGCAGGGTGAGCAGGAAGTTTATGCCTCTGTAGAAGGCATCAGCCAAGAGAGTCATGATGCTGTTCACACGCGTGGGGCTGCAGGAGAGCAGCAGGAATGGGGGGATCTCACAGAAGAAGTGATTGATGACCTTGGGGTCGCAGAACAACAGGCGTGGCATCAGACCAGTGTTGATGGAGGAATTCAGAGCACAGATACCCCATACACCGATGGCCATGACTCCACACATTTGTGGGCTCATCCTGGAGCTGTAGTGCAGGGGAAAGCAGATGGCCACATAGCGGTCATAGGCCATGACTGTGAGAAGCAGCAGCTCAGAGGAAGCAGACCAGACAAGGAAGAAGAGCTGGACCATGCACCCCTGGAAGGAGATGGTGTTTTCATCAGATGCTAAGCCTAAAAGTACCTTAGGCAGCACTGAGGAGGTACAGATAATGTCCATGGTGGCCAAGTTGCAGAGGAAAAAGTACATGGGACTGTGGAGGCCAGCACTGGAGCTGACCAAAACAATGATCAGAATGCTGCCAGTGAGGGCCACAGTGTACAGGGATAGTAAACAACCAAGCAGGAACAGTTGCAACCTGGGGTGCTCTGAGAACCCCTGAAGCACAAACTCTGTGACCATTGTCTGGTTAGGGTTTGCCATCAGGAGGAAGTAGCCCTGGATCCACTCCTCTGTCTGAAGCTCTCTAAGAAGAGATTACAGGGCACTCACTTCAGACTCATGTTTTATAGGGGATCAGCTTCAAACTCTGCATGCTGTCAAGAATGAAGAAGCAAAATTGTTTCCTGTATGGAAGCCTATGCATCCCTTCTCTTTCCCAACATCATTTGTAAACCCATATCATTCATTTTATTTTCATTTTCTACCTTTGAACTTTCTGTCCTATAGATTTGTGTCCTAAGAGCAGCCACCCCTTCTTCACCTTCTTCAATATGTGTCGGAGACAAGGCTCCCTTTGTGAGCCATTCTGTCTTGACCTTGCCCTGGAACATTTTGCGGTTGTTTGTCCCAACTTCTCCATCTCCAGCACAAGATGGCGCCGTCCCCGCTTCTCTTCCGGGAGTTTACCTTGCCGCCGGCGCGAACGTGCACCTTATCAGAAGTCCTATAGCAGAACCAGCCAACCAGCCTGCACCTCGTCATACCCCTCACTCCCTCAGCACATAAATACCCCTGTGTGAACAATAAAATTTTGCAGCTTGATCAGAACTCCTGTCTTGCTGTCATCCTTCGTGTCTCTTGTCCCTTCATTCTTCCCCTTCTAGGTTCGCTACCCACGCTGATGTGTCCTGCAGGACGGGACAAATATGTAAGTGTGTGGAGCATCCTTCACTCAGGAGCTATGTGCTCTTTCTTGCTCCAACACCTCCAAGTGCTGTGTTCTGCAGAAGGTGCCATGGAGACATCCCTGTGCCCTCACCTCCACAGCACGTGCTCCCTCAGCAGAGGTGCCTATTGGAGGGCATGACCTGAGATGCCTCTTACATTTTCCCTCCCAGCCTGGTTAGAGGTACTTCAAAGTTAACACTCCCATAGCTTATGTCCTCACCATTTACCAAATGTTTTTAACTTGTGGCTTTAATGGCAACACAAGGCAACCCACTCTTAGCCATCCAGTGTGTCAGTGTGGGAATGTGGGTTCCACGGAGCAGAACTGCACCTCTCTGCCTCAATGTCTTATTTTAACTTCTAGTCATAGTAGACTATAGGAAAATACCTGTTCAATGAACTAAGGATGCTTTTCTGCATCTTGTTACTCCTCTCATCCAATCACTCATCCAAGTCTGCAGGTAAAATATTACATATCCCATCTCATGCCCTCAGACATTTTTCATTTCAGTAATTTTAAAAAACAAAATTTTTTAAATTTTGGAAACAAAGTAGCTGGTTTGTCCTTCCAGTCCTGTCCCTCATTTTCTCCAATGTATCCAGGTTGAAAACCCTAAAAGTAACCCTGTCGCTGGCCTTCCTTCTCACAATTCATGCTGACTGTGTCTTTCCAGAGTCCTCAGGCAAATCAGAAGCTCTATAATCTGACATGGCTGGCCCATCTGCCATGGCCCAGTAACTTTTACAGCCATTCCCCTAAGTTCACGTGTACCCACAATCTAGACCCTGACTCCTGAACCCCAAATGTGCCCATTGAATGCCCATTGCCTCCCTCTTCCTCCTTGTCCAGGGCAAAAGGCCCTCATGCTTCAACATCTAGCACAACCATGACCTATTCAATGAAACCTTTACCCAGTCCTAGTCAAGACCAATGAATAAAGCCCATTTTCCCTTATAATGACTGCTTCAGTTTACTCTTTAATCTGAATCCTTACATTAATTCATTGTGTTTCTGTTACTAATTTTTACTAAAGCTTTTTCCATAATAAGAATCATAACCTATTTTCTTCCCAGCTCACTACTAACCCTTGAGTTGGTCAAAGATTGCTGTCATTCTCATAGGTGCTTCCTATGCCAACCTGGGGTTGCTGAACATCAACTTTACCCCATACACCCATGCAGACAGTATGTATGTCTGAGCAGGTTTCCTTGATGTCACAGAAGTGGCTGGTTATGCCCGCCTCACCAATGTCTTAAAAATCTCACAAAAATGATGTCATTGAAAACCTATGTCGCAATAAGAACTCCAGACAAAGGAAAATATCTGAATAATTCACAAAACAGCATATTAAGTCCTTAAATACCCAAAATGCCTCAGATGCAAATTAAATTCTTCAAACAAAGTCATTGAGGGGCATAACTGATTTTGAAAAACAAGGCTTGCTATGTGGTATATGTAAGGGTTATTTCACCTTTAAGATCATACACAGAGACTAAAGGAAAGAGGCAGAAAATGGTATTCAATCCATTGGAACCAAAAGTCAGCAGCCTTGACATATGCTTTAGACCAAAGAACCTGACGGACAGATCCAGCACATTCCGTCCAGCAGCAGTAGAGATACCTTCTTCCCAAATGGCACCCAATGTCCTCTGGGATAGATTATGTGTGAAGCCATGAAACAAACAGCAAATTGAAGAAGACTGATCAGAGTAAGCTCTTTTTTGTCCACAGAGATATGAAACTACAAATCAATAGCAGGAAGAACTTGGGTAAATCCACAAAATGTGGATATTAACCAACATATTACTGAACAACCAATGAGAAGATGAACAGATGTTTCTCAAAAGAAGACATACACGTGGCCTACAGGCAAGTGAAAAAATGGTCAGTAGTATTAGTCACTGAGAAATGCAAATTAAAACCAGAATGGCATCTCTTCCAGCCTGTTAGAATGGGTATTACCAAAGAGACAAAAGCTAATAAGTGTTGGTGAGGAAATTATAAAAGGCACACTTGTACATTGTGGGTGAGAAAGTAAATTAGTACAGCCATTATGGAAGCCATTATATAATTCTGAAAAAAAAATTAGAACTGCTATAGCAGGGAGGAGGGCCAGAAAAGAAACAGACAGGTTGTGTTCTGATGAAATAGGGGGAAGGGATGGCAAAGCAGAGAGATAAAACTTAAAGAATTGAAATGAAGGTCACATAGCACTGGGAAAATGAAATAGCCAGTAAAATCACATGCAGCCTCAAGTGGGTTGAGCTTTGCTTTTTGCTTCAGTAACCTGCTTGCAAGAGTATATAAGGTGAGGTCTTTTTGTTCTCGGGGTTCAGCCTTTGGATACAAGTCCACTAGGTCTGTGTCCACACAATAGAATGTTGCTTCCTGCTAAACTGCCTCAGTGTACCATATCTCAGCTTGAGATTCCCACAACACTATGACCACCATGTGATCCAGCTATTGGGAATATACCCCAAGGAAAAAAATTCATGCGTCAAGGAGATAACTGTACTCCCTTGTTCACTGCAACATTATGTACAATAAACAATACATAGGCTGATCTTGTGATCAACAATAAATTGATGCATAAATAAAAATATGGTGCATTCTCAAATAAGATATTATTCAGCCTTAAAACATAGAAACATTTTCATTTGTGACAACATGGATGAACTTGGATGACATCATGTTGAGTGAACTAAGCCAAGCAAAGGAAGAAAAATACTGCTTTCTGTGGTTTGAATGGTTGTCCTCTCTCAAACTTTTGTTGAAATTGAATAGCCCTTGTAACAGTATTAGGAGGTGAGACCTAGCCAGGCGCTGGAGGCTCACACCTATAATTCTGGCTACTTGGGAGGTTGGGAAGAGGAGAATCACAGTTTGGTGTGGCTCAAGTGGTAGAGTGCCTGGTTTGCCAGTGCAAAGCCCTGAGTTTAAACCCCAGTCGTACCAAAAAACAAAACAAAACAAACTGAAAAAGAGGAGGTGAGACTTTAAAGAGAAGAATAGGCCATGGAGGCTCTGCCCTTGGGACTCTGACCAATGCCATTAGAAAAAGGCAAATTTGGCCCTTTCTCTCTCTCTCTCTGCTTCCTCCATATGATAATGCAGCAGAAGAGTCCTCACCAGATGCTGACAATTGATAAGCAGTACCGGCCTCCACAATGGTGAAATAATAGATATCTCATTATAAATCACCCAGGCTGTGGCATTCTGGTACAGCTGCATGAAACAGGTGAAAATACTTCATAATCTCAATATTCTGCAAAATCTAAAAAAATTCAGCTTTACTGAAGAAGAAAGTGGAATAGTGGTGACCAGAGGCTGGCATTAGAAGGGGGATACTGAACAAAAGATACAAAGTTTCAGTTAAGTGGAGTCTGTTCTGGCCTTTTGTAATGGGCCATGGTGACAGTAGTAGTAATGTGTACATTGTTGCTGTACAAAATTGTTCTCACTGAAAAAATGGTAAGAACATGAGGTAATGCCTGTGTTAATTAGCTTATTTATCTAGCCCACAATATGGTTGCATTTCAAAACACCATGTACAACAGAAATATACACAATTTTGTAATTTTCCTTTCTTGCTCCCTTCCCTTCTTCCTTCCTTCCTCTCTCTCTCCCTTCTTCCCTCTCTTCTTTTCTCCATCCCTCCATCCTTCCCTTCCTTCCTTCCTTCTTTTCTCCATCCCTCCCTCCTCCCCTCCCTCCCTCCTTCCTTCCTCCCTTCCTCCCTCCTCCCTCCAATTCTCCTTCCCTTCCCTCCTTTCTTTTTCTTTTTAAAAAATGTTTGAGACAGTGTTTCAGTAGATACTGTAGCAGAGAGGAGGATCAGAAGAGGAAACAGACAGACTGTGTTCTGATAATGAGGCAGGAGGAAGAAATGGCAAAGCAGAGAGACAAAACTTTAAAAATTGAAACATGAAGAATATTACATAGCACTGGGGGAATGAAATAGCAAATGAAGTCACATGCAGCCACATGTGGGTTGAGCTTTGCTTCTTTCTTCTGTAACCTGTTTGCAAGAGTGTACAAGATGAGACGTCTTTGTTCTCGGGGCTTAGCCTTTGGACACGAGTCTGTGTCGGCACAATAAATGTTGCTTCCTGCTAAACTGCCTCAGTGTCCTGTATCTCAGCTTGAGATTCATGCAACAATATAGTATTGGATAATGAAGCCATTGAAAACATTAAACATTAGTATAGCATGTATAGTATAATGGTATAATAGGACAAAAATGCAAGAAAGAAGGAATTGAAAACATTAAACATTAGTATAGCATGTATAGTATAATGGTATAATAGGACAA